ATCGGCCCACCTTACTGATTAAGTCCTTTGTGTACCCCTGTCCGTTGTGATACCAATGTCTATTTCGTTACTTTTTTAGTTTTTATTAAAATAAATCCTTAAAATGATTTTACTATCACTTGGTAGTACCTGTTTATAAATTAGAGTTTAACTCACTAATACAAGAAAATATTAATGGTATTGTTTTTTTAACAAAGAATCGGAATGGTGTCTTTTAAAAAGTAATTTAAATAACATAAATATTTAAAAAAGGCATACAATTTTTAATAAAAAATAAAATTGGAGTCAAAAGTTTGTGAACTAAGTACATTTTTTTTCAAATTATTTTTATAACAACTTTTTTTAATGAATTAAATTTTGGATTTCAAATTGGTAACACAGTGGGGATATATAAAGCTAGCTAAAAACATTTTTGTGAAAAAAACGTAAAAAAATTAAAAAGTGCACTGCCTGTCTTAAATGTAAGTAAACAAAACTCTAAACATTTATAAAAATCCAACCAAAAGTCAATTTAAGCAAAAAAAATATTATGATCTTCATTTTCCTGAAATCGAGTGTTTCTTGAAAATGACCCATTGATAAATCAACTAATTTAATTGTGGTTTATGTATTTTAAATAAAATTAGAATGTATTTAATACTTTACTATTTTTCTATGATCATCACGTAGCGCCTACTAAATTATATAATCCCCCCACATTAAGACACGTCTAAATGGGGATTGCCGATTGAAATTAGACCAATTGGCCAATGGCTACCTTATTTAAAATACAGTGATGACATAGTTGGTTATAAAACACAAATTTGGTAATTTTAAGAAAAATTATTAAAATTTACTTAAAACCTAAATGTGAGAATCATTTTAATTCTAAATATTAGTATATTTATATATATACAGGGTGAGTTTAACAGGGGGTAAGAGATATTTCAAGTTACCCTGTATATTTATTTCACTCGAAGGCTACGGGTAGATGTTTGATATAATTTCGACTTCGAAACGACTACGAAACAAATTGTAAAATAAGCTGAAAGTTATATAATTCAGCTTGCGTAGAGTAACTGTCTCTCTTAATTTATTGTAAGAAAACACCGATTATTGCTTAAGTGATGAATTCTTTATAATTAAAAAGACAATTATGTCTTGAGACAGTCACTTATAACAACGCGCCTAAAAAGACACTGCAATTTTTCTATAAGGAAATGATTGGATAACGTTTACTTAAAACTCTTCAACATCTATATTACTTTAAAAATAGCTCCAAATTCTATTTAATTATTTTGCACAGGTAGGTAAAACAAAGTATTTTGCAAAAACAATGAATTAAACATGGCCAATATTTAAAGTATACACGGTGGTCAAAACTGATAGCATATTTTGATTATAGACCCTTTTGGTAACACCATAACATGTATTTATCAAAATCCCAGCTGACCCTATTTTAAAGTTTTGCAAACTTTTTTGTTTTTCTATTTCTATATATTATTTTGCAATTATTGTACTGAAACTACCTGTACAATTTTAATAAAATTAAGCAAAATAATAAACTTTGTATCATTTAAATTACTTTACTCCCCAGTATTAATTTATTGAGTTAAGTTTGTCTATGAAATAATTACAACTTGCAAATTTTGTAAAAAAATAATTAAGGTGGTTATGAAAAAAATTGCTATACGTTATAACGCAAGTGACATTTTGCTTTAAATATTTATTTAATGTATACTTTATAAAGTTAAAAATAGTATTTTGAAATGAAAATTAAACCGTAATTCAAGTTAAGCCATGAAGAAAATCGAAAGAAGATATGTGCTGGCTGTGAAGACAAAATTGTTTTTGGTAATCGAAAAATTCAAAGTTTAGGGTTTGAGAAAATATAAAAATTACTGCAGACTTTTTCAAACGAACACTTTAACTTAAGTCATTCAATATGGTAAAAACGGTATTTTTGCATAGCCACAATTGCCAAATTTTCAAAATTTAGAAATTGCTAGAGAATTTCGCGGCAGCCAAGAGTGTATGTGCTTTATCTGCAAAATGGCAAGATATAAAGGGCATAAAAAATTATTAAGGGAAGAGGACGGACGGACGAACTAAAGTTTTGATATGCTCTTCCTTTCTAGGGGATATCGCTAGATGTAAGAAGCATGTTTGTACAGACTGAAGAATTTAAAAATACTGTTTCCATGTTAAAAACAATTCCAAGTAAAACCCAAGAAAAAGTTTTACTGAAAATTTAAAGCAAGCAGTAATCGATTTTGCTTCAAAGAATCTTTAGTTATTTATTAGTTTTGTATTAGGTACCTTAAAACAATAAATAAGACATTGCAAACTGTATTTTACATTATTTTGTATTTATAATGTAATTTATCCATATTTCATGTATCTGCCAAATTTTTAAAAACATTTGATAATGGTACTAGAGTATTTTATCGAAATGGCATAAACAATTTTAAAATACTAAGAAATATGCAAAACTTTAATAAAGGATCAGCTGGGATTTTGATAAATACCTTTTTGTGTTACCAAAAGAGTCTATAATCAGATTATGCTATCAGTTTTGGTTGGCATTTTTGTTCGTCCTATACTTTAGTTTTGACCACCGTGCATAGTTAAACTACTATTTATATTTTACCCAGGTTTTTTAATATTTATTTTAGTGTGAAATGATTCCTGAGTCTTTTCTTGCTAAATTTTATATTATACATTTTTTATTGCACAGTATTCTAAACCCATTACATTTTGATATAAATTATAATTTATTTGATTATATACATTTAATTTTTTTTATTTAAATTGTATCACGAGTAGATCTAATATTGCGCCATCTTTTTGAATACATACGAATTAAAATTGTAATTTTAGAAGGCGGAAAGCATATAAAAACTTTTACCTTAATTTTATATACAGGGTGTCCCAGAACCCGATTTTCATATAAAATTTATATATGCCATTGTTTTAGTTTTTTTCTTATCAATATTTAAAAAGGATAGTTTCTTTGTTTAAACTTTATTTACGTCTACTTAAAAATAAGAATATTTGAATTTTTAATAATAGTTTTATAAAAATATGCAAAAAAGTATATATAGTAATTGGACAAATAGACCATAGTTATTGAACATACAATTTTTATATAAACATAAATTGTTAAATATTTTTTAAAGATAAATTACATTTTTTACCAACCACCAACACACTGTTTGTTTTTAGAATTAAAACTAAAACGCATTAAAGTGACAATGTTTAAACCATGAGGAACAAATTTATACCACACACTGATCTGTACACTTTTTAGAAATATTTTTTATTGTAATTTAAACACTGCCCTGCTCTTAACAAAAAAACATAAATCTTACCACCAAAGTAACGAGCAAACTTTTTTGTCCTTTATTGGACCCAAAATAAAGTAGTTCTATAATAATTATCTGTAATTATTACAGATTGAGATATTTATAATTTTATACAGCGTCATCTAATGATTTGACTTTAAGGTAACTATTTATAGAACTCTTGTTTTTACAGTATTAATGTTAATTGTCCAATAACTATAAACAATTTGTTTTAATTGTTTTTTTTGCATACCATAACTTTTTTATGGAATCAATATTATTCACTTATGGTGAAATTTCCTACAGAGAACTTTCTCGATATAGGTATGTAATGAAAATAAAAACACCTTACAACAGATGTTTTAAGTTATAGACTAGTTCTTGCCATTTCTAAAATTCTAAAATATAAATGTTTTTGGCCTTATAAAGCATACAGAGAAATTATTCCACAGAAAAAAACTTTAATTTATTTCAAAATAAAACACTATTAAGAAAATATTTTATTGCAATAACATTAACAACACAGAATAAGTTAAAATTAAACAAGAAATAACTAACAACTAATAAGGGGTATTTGTATAATTTTTTCAGTCTCTTATAAGTTTTCTATTAAAAACTTAAAATATCCACTAGAACATCGAGGTATAAACCAAGTCACACAAAAATAATATAAACATAAAACTTAATACTTTCAGGGGCAATATACAAGATTTTAAGTATATTTTTTGTATTACAAGGGACTGGGAATCTTGAATTTTCCTACTTTAGTTTCTGTAGAAAATGATCTCTATAGAAAGGAATAAACCAATCAGAGCATGACGTTTTTATCGCATCTAGTGTGCTGTGGAGAATGCCGTGCCCTGATTGGTTTATTGGTGTAAGATTTGTATCCAGTAAGTTTACAAATATAAGGTTTTTGGGTAAAAACATACGAGGTGTGTTCAGAAAATAACGGGAATTGTTAAATTTCGCGGCTTCGGAGGGTCCGGTTGTTATAAAATTTTATTTATTATGTTGGTATACATGCCCCCGAAGTATGATAAAAACTGTTTTCATTGTTTACTTTGTCTGTGGCAGCCGCTAAGGTTAGACGTTTTTTATGAGCTCGGCGATTTTCGTTCGTTAAAAGAAATGTATCAAAGAATTTGTATCCAATTTTGCTTAAAAAATGAAATAAATTCTGTGAAATGTTAACAAAGGCCTATAGTGAGTCTGCTATAAGTATAACAAGAGTTTACAAGTGGTATAAGAGTTTCCAAGATGGCCGTGAAGACGTTGAAGATGACGAACGCCCCGAACGCACAAGCACATTAACAACCGATAAAAACATGGAAAAAGTGGAAGAAATGGTTATAAACAGAGAAGTCGCTGATGATGTTGGTATATCGATTGGCTCATCCCATGAAATTTTTTTGAATGTTTTGGGTACGAAACGCGTAAATTTTGAACAAAATTTTTGGCCAAAAACAATACTGTAATGATGCCCCAGCCTCCATATTCGCCAGACATGCCTCTGTCTGACTTTTTCCTATTACCAAAAATAAAGGGAACCTTAAAGGGCCGTCGTTTTGCAAGCATAGATGACATTAAAAGCGAATCGCTGAAAGAACTAAAGGCTATCTCGAAGGTAGAGTTTTAGAAGTGTTTCGAGTATTGGAAGAAGAGCTGGCACATGTTTTGAAGGCGACAACATTAATGTAGACGAATAAATAAATATTTGTTTCAAAAAACGAAAATTCCCGATATTTTCTGAACACGCCTCGTATGTAAAACCCAGATTTGCCCTACTCTCTAAAAATGAATTTCACTTGTACCATACCATTTTTGACGAATTCATTTTTGAGTATCATATCATATTTTCTTCCTATATAGTTGTGCTTAAGGTGCCATATTTTTTTTTACTTTTTATCACAAATAGAATAATTTGGTGCAGATAATTTTAGTGAAATTTTCTCTTGTAATGTTTTTTGCTGACATTCCTTTGTGGTGGTCGTTTTCTGTGTGCCACTCTTTTGGGTTTTGGTTCTGAAGCACTCGGATAACTGTGGTCCCTGTGTAGGGGGTGAGGTGGATAGTAAGGGTCTTCGTCATCTTCACTTTTGGACTCTTCTATCTCGTATCCATGACTACTTTTTGGATCATGTCTTTGTTTGTGCCTTGAGTACTCGTTTTGTTCGTAGTTTTGTTCTTTAGTTTGGTAATCCAGCTGGTAGTTTTTCGGATTCTGCCTGGTGTAGTCATTTTCTTCGTAATTGTCGGGTTCTTTGCGATGATATTCCTGCGGATGAAACTCGCTGGGTTGGAATTCGTTTTGGTAGTCGTTTTTGTTGTTGTAGTAGTCTATACCGTCGTTTTGGTGATCGTCGAATTTCACGAGTTTTTCCTTCTCGTGGATGTAGTGGTGGTGCTCAGGAACAATTTTCTCCTTCTCGTGGAAATAGTGATGGTGTTCCGGAACTTTAATTATTTTCGTGTGGTAGATGGTCTTGATTTTTTGAGGTACATGTATTCTATGGATGAAGCTAATACAATAAAAATAAATTATTAAATTATGTTTTTACTGCACATGTGAATACACTGCCACAAGCCAACTTGCTTAAATTAAAATAAGAATATATATGTCAACTAAAAATATTTAACTTCTTTAAAAAAGAATTTTGTAGTTTTGGAAATATTCTAATTAAGAAAATATTGCTGCCTTATTTCAAAAATTATATATTCTTGCTTTTAAACAAGTTTTATTTAAAGAAATTTAATTTTCTTACATTAAGAAAAGATTCTTGAAGTAAATCAACGTGAATTAAGAAACTACTTTACTATTTTAAAGAATATATTCTCTTCGTTATATATGAGACAAAGATTGTTTTGAATCAAATAAATTTATTTGATACAAGAATTTTTTTTCAGTGTACAAATTATCTTACCGATTGTTATGTCCTGGGTATGACCCCACAGCTTTCATTGAAATTAACAGCAAGCATACCTAAAAAACATAAAAAAAATATTTAATACTCTCTCTTTAACTGCCATTGTATATTTCATGCAAATACGATCAAAATTAATAGGTAACTAATCTAGCGAAAACGCCTCTAACCTAACTTACGATTAAATTACCGTCTCAAATGTATAATTTCAAGATAATTACCAATCTTTTTATTATAGCACTTGGATCAATGGATTTCTTAATTAAACAATAGAAAGTTCACAGGAAATTATGCGTTTTACGCGTACTTCATCTTGTTAAAATCAATAAATTTGTGCTTGATTGATTAATATTAATTAAATTGTTATGCATATAAAATTGTTTATTTTTTAAATAAAAATAATACAGTAATTTATACTTGGTATTAATATACAGTGTGAATCTCACAGAAAAAGTCGATGGGAGTTAGATCTGGTGATCTTGCTGGCCATTCTGTGTGGGAAGATTAGGTTCCAATGGATTTGGAAACAACTTTGCTAGAGTTGAGAACTTGTTCTCAGCATTTCCAAATATTTTCCACTTATTATTATTATTACTATTATTATTTAGAAGAAGAGCTTTCATAGAATGGCCATCAGGATCACCAGATCTAACACTGCTAGACTTTTTTCTATTGGTTTATTACACAAAAAATGTTTGTTTTATTGAACTACTAAATTAAAATATACAAGAAATTTTTAATTGGTGAAAATTTGGGACCAGTTATCAATACATAACATATGCTAATAACTTTTATTAGTTGCCATCAGTCGTTCTCGCTATACTTTCTTCATACCTATTTATATTAAAATTTAAAGGAAAGTTATCAATAATTAACAACCATGGAGATATTGTTATCAAGGATAAATAAATTAACTAAAACATTATGACATTGGTGGCCATAAATAGATGTATATCTCCCAGAAAATACTAGTATTTAACAAATTTTGTAAAATTATTAAAACCCCATGTAGTTAATTAGTAAAGCGATTGATTACAGCCTAGGCTGTAAAAAACCCGTTTGGACCAATCAACTTTTAGACCGTTTTTCGTGTTAAACGCCTTTAAATTACAAAAAAATAAATCCATACAATGTTTAAAATTATCTATAGGTTGTATCTAAAAATTTCTCATATGTAATTAAAAATATAATTACATTTTGATTTATGAACATTCGTTGTACACTTTTTTAATAAAATGATTAGATATCTATCTAAGTGTTAAAAATAGTAAAAATTAAGATTCCAGATAATATTTTTACAATATACTAGAGGTAATAATTATTTACTAGATATAATTTCAAGTTTTAGTGAAAAAGAATAAAATGTCATTTTTAAACCTTTAAATGTAAGTATAATAGTATATTATGTATTAAGTTTGATAGATAAAAATTAGTGTGTAAAAAAGTTATAAAAAACAATTTATTACTAATAAATTCATATATTTGTATAGAGCCACATCTTTGCAAAAATAGAGATACCAAAATTGATGTTAGGAATCTGTTTTACCGGCATTATAAATGTCAGTATCGGTTTGTAAAATTTCTACCTTAAAAATGGACTAACAACCGTTTGAATCCGGTATAGAAGCAGTTTTTCACAGTGAAAGTGAAGATGGTGTTTTTATGGGTTCTCCAAAAGTGGGGGTAAAAAAAATTATTAAATATGTTTGAATAAACACATTATAACACGAAAATACCGCATTTAGTCCTATTTTCTCTAGGCACTTAAAGTACGAAGCACAAAGAATTATAAAAAAATCGGTTGAACACTCCCGTTTGTAGTAAACTGCTTGACTGTACGGTGAAATGAAGTACGTGATCGAATTTTTTCCGGAAAACGCTGAGCGTAGATATTAACAGCATCATCAACATTCCTGCATGCTTCTCCATAAATCAAAATCATTTCTATTTTTTCTTCCACTGTTAAAAAATTCATTATGAATAACTGCTTAACGAAAGGAGGTATTTTTGTTTTCAAATTAATCTTTGAACTAAATTGATTAAATAATGCTAAACTATGTATAAATAGTTTCTTTATACCTCAATAATAATTATTATTTATAACTAAATACCATTTTTTATACCTCAATTAGTATTAAATTAATTAATTGGCAAAATATTGTTTTTTTACCTTAAATGAGGTATTTTTATTAAAAATAGTACAATAATCCTTTAAATTAAAGGATTTAATGCTGGCAGGTAAAAAGTGACCATGGTGCGCAATTGATAATTATCACCGAATGAAATAATGTATAAACTTAAATATTAGTTAAAAAATCGTGGGTACTTAAAAAAATCAGATTTAATTTAATAAGATAAATATTACCAAAAAAAAGTGATATTTTTATAGAAAAATTATTTCAGAATCGTATAAGAAGAGAAATCGAACAAAATTGTTTTTTTTATTACAGCGCCATCTATTACAAATATGAAAAAATGTTTTAGACAAAATCTACCTATTTTTAGTCGAATGATCCGAATCTGCAATAAAAAATAGGGTGTTCCATTGGAAATTTTGATGAAGTTTCAAGTTGACCCTGAATATTTCCCCAATAATTGTCCTATTTATATTTTAACTAATTTAAAATGATAATCTACTTACTTTGAACAAATCCATTTTGGGCGACAAGTAACTGTAGCACACGCTTAAGAAAACTGAAAACTCACGATTTCTACTGGTATCGAGAAATGCCGTATAATAACTTTCCTATATATATAATCTTTTATAAATTTGAAGTGGGGAAACCACATTGATGATCACAGAAAACACTAAATTCAACGTATTGCCTAATGACTTTTTTACCATAGTCAAAAGACATTTTTGTGTTGCATTTAAGATTACTATAATAGTAGCTTATAGCATCTAAGTAGAAATGTCTCATTGTAAGGTCATTGTTGATATGAAAGTAATGTATAATAAAATCAATCATTAACAGGACATTACTGTGCTGATAATATTTATTGTGCTTTTAATTAAGTTGGAGGAGTGGTTTAATGTTTATTTAGGTTTATTATTTTTTCATCTGGATTATGTTTTTATCGAATTTATTAATTTTGTTGCCGTTAGTTTTTTATGTTATTTAAATCACTGTTATTCTGCAAGATGTCCTGTGACAAAGAAATCACCATATTACTTACTCTCTAAAAATGAATTAGTCAAAAATGTCATGGCGAAAAAGCCACTAATAATTCTCGTCAACAGCAATTTGTATCCAGGACATTTAGCAGTCAATTTCTATGAAATATTATTCGCTGAATCCGAAAATGTCGTCAAAAGTTATAAAAGTAGAACAGTTTTTGGAATATAATCAATTTTACATATAATATGGAATTGACTATTAGTATTTTCGGATTTAGTGGACAATTTTACCTAAGAATTGGCTAGAAAATGTCCGGGATACAAATAGAGTATGATATTGGACATAAGTCCAATAATAGAAATTTACATTTTTTACCAACCAGTAATTAGACACTGGCCATTTTACTGTTTGTTTTCAGAATTAAAATTAAAACGCATTAAAGTGACAATGTTTAAACCATTTATTGTAATTTAAACACAGCCCTGCTCTTAACAAAAAAACAAAAATCTTAGCACCAAAGTAACGTGCGAACTTTTTTCTCCTATATTGGACCCAAAATAAAGATTTACAATTTATTTAATTATTTAACAATCGATAATTACTGAGAATAATAGTTGTTACTTAAAGAAAGAAAGTGCGATATCCATTAAATAAAATCCGGTGACCGGAAGATCATTTGTAAGATTTAATGTAATTAATTACTTTATAGAACAATTTCCTACATGTTTTACTATCATTAAACTTAGTAAGGATTTTGAGCGGGTATTCCTATAGGAAACACATATTAAATTCTTTGTGTTAAATTGTGCAGAATTATAAGATAAAACTTTCAAAGAGTCATGTACCATGATCAATTACCAAAACTAAAATGCAAGTTGAACTACATGAAATTTTTATATTATATACACGGTGGTCAAAACTAAAGTATAGGACGAACAAAAATGCCAACCAAAACTAATAGCATAATCTGATTAGAGACTCTTTTGGCAACACAAAAATGTATTTATCAAAATCCCAACTGATCCTTTATTAAAGTTTTGCATATTTCTTAGTATTTTAAAATTGTTTATGCCATTTCGATAAAATACTCTAGTACCATTATCAAATGTTTTTAAAAATTTGGCAAATACATGACTTAAATATGGATAAATTACATTATAAATACAAAATAATGTAAAATACAGTTTGCTATATCTTATTTATTGTTTTAAGGTACCTAATACAAAACTAATAAATAACTAAAGATTCTTTGAAGCAAAATCGATTACTGCTTGCCTTAAATTTTCAGTAAAACTTTTTCTTGGGTTTTACATGGAATTGTTTTAACGTGGAAACAGTATTTTTAAATTCTTCAGTCTCTGTACAAACTTGCTTCTTACATCCAGCGATATCCCCTAGAAAGGAAGAGCATATCAAAACTTTAGTTCGTTCGTCCGTCCTCTTCCCTTAATAATTTTTTATGCCCTTTATATCTTGCCATTTTGCAGATAAAGCACATACATTCTTGTCTGCCGCGAAATTCTCTAGCAATTTCTAAATTTTGAAAATTTGGCAATTGTGGCTATGCAAAAATACCGTTTTTACCATATTGAAGTAGGTAATTTTGAATCACTTAAGTTAAAGTGTTCGTTTGAAAAAGTCTGCAGTAATTTTTATATTTTCTCAGAAACCCTAAACTCTGAATTTTTCGATTACCAAAAACAATTTTGTCTCCACAGCCAGCACATACCTTCTTTCGATTTTCTTCATGGCTTAACTTGAATTTCGGTTCAATTTCCATTTTAAAATACTATTTTTAACTTTATAAAGTATACATTAAATAAACAACTAAAGCAAAATGTCACTTGCGTTATAAAGTATAGCAATTTTTTTCATAACCACCTTAATTATTGTTTTACAAAATTTGCAAGTTGTAATTATTTCATAGACAAACTATTTTTTGTTATAAAAAATATTTAAGATATAAATCTTCTTTTTTTTTGTTTTTTTTTGTTTTGAGTGGTAAAAAATAATAGGTGACTCAATAAATTAATACTGTGGAGTAAAGTAATTTAAATGATACAAAGTTTATTATTTTGCTTAATTTAATTAAAATTGTACAGGTAGTTTTAGTACAATAATTGCAAAATAATATATAGAAATAGAAAAACAAAAAAGTTTTGGTGGGCATTTTTGTTCGTCCTATACTTAAGTTTTGACCTGGCCTAATTATAGTGACAATTTTAACGGTTAAGATACGCATGATAATTAACAAAAAACATATTTCCTTCAAGAATTTCAATAACAAATTACTTACCATTTTTTACTTTAACATCATAATTATTGTTTATTTTTAAATGGTAATGTGAATATCGTTTTGTTATCGCTTATCTCACGTGTAACTTTCTAAAAAGAACATTTCAGGTAAAAATGTCCAATCAAACAGCTGTTACCTTAGACAATTCCTCTAGGAAGTTGGTTTTGAATAGACACTAAAAAATCGAATTGTAATCGTGAAGAAAAAACGCATTTGTTTATGGCAAAATTAAATGAAGAGAAATTTATTATTAAATCTATTTTTATTAAAAATAACGTATGATAGCCAAAAAATGCCCAAATATACATGGGTTAATATATTGAGATGTCCCCCAAGTAAAAATGATTATTTTATTTTATTTTATTGCATCTTTTAACACCTTAATATTTTTTTTAAATACAATTTTACTTACATAAAATGTTATTATTTATAAAAAAATCTACTTACTGAGATATTACACTTCACGGTGGATAGGTTTTTAAATAGAAAATTAACGAACTTAAACTTTTGAATTATAAAACAGCAACACTCTCATCTGCATATAAATTCTAACTGACCTTCAGGAATCACATGCATCTATAATGTCGTAAACAGAGGTTTTTGCTTATTTAAAATGATTAAAGCGCCATCCGTTGCATAAAATTTAAAGCATAAACAGATTCACGGAGGATAGAATCACCTACATAAATTGTTATACAAATTATTTCTTTTACATAAAACATATATGTTTTATTATAATAGAATAGTAAATGCTTTTAGTAATTATAAAAAAAAATATTTTATGATATACCTATCAATGTTAATGAATATTTTATTATAAATTACCCCAGCACTAAAATATTAGCGCATTAAAATAAATTAATCCAGGCGTTAATAGAGATATTCATCTATTTCACATTGTAGTTCATAATATAATTGCTTGGAATAATATTGAGTTGCCCCTTGTGAATAAAGATGTATTTAAAAAAAGTTAAAAGTGCTTTTAATGTTTTTAAGGATGTGGGCCATATAAATAGAAGTGTTTGCTTGGTGTGTATTTTGAGGCCATTTTTTTGGTGCACGTTGGTTTTCCGGAACATAATGGGTGTGAAAGAAATTAATGAAAAGTGTTATTTTAAAGTGAACAAGATATTTGTTAACCTTTCCATAGCCACATTTTCATGTGGTGGGCTGTATTTGCTATACCTAGATGTGGATTTATGTTTAAAATCAAATATTTTGCTATGCTTGAATTCATCCACAGGCCACATATACTCTGCCATAGGTATTTACAATATCTTAAACTATGCTTTTTATAAAAACAAATTGTTATACCTTTTAACATCGTATAAGAATTTACTTAAATACTGCAAAGATTGTGGATTAAAAATACCATTGGACCACGAATTAAACAAAAACTTACTGATAAACTTCTATGGATCAATTATTATAAGTTTAGCAGGTATTATATTCACCATAATGGAATTTAAACTAAATGAAAATTCACTACATAACACCAACACATTCATATTTTTTTTCATTTATGTGAGTCATTACATACAAGTCCATACGTTAGGGCAGCTTTTCACTGGGCAATACCTATTACGACGCGTATATAAAGTCGCAGGAGACACCTTTAAACATTCACTGAATGTTTACAGAAGGGAACCAAGTGAAAACATAACCAGAACAGGATTGCCCTCCAAATTAATAACCGGCCAAATAACCATACTCAAAACCATATTCATATCCATAAAGAAGATAGATGCGATAAACAACGTAATTTTTCAAAATAATTTGATTGTTTGGCTTATCTGCGTGGTAGCACTGCTGATAATACATTTTTTTGTTATTGTAAAGGAATGGGATGCAGCGTACAATTTGATAATTACAGCTGTCTTCAGGAATATGTTTTTGATTTTGATGCTCTTGGTGTGCATCTATAAATCCGATCAGTATTCAAATTCTGTAAGTATAAAATAATTATTATAATAATTAATATATAAAGAAATTACATTATTAATAGCACTATGTATCAAATATCAAATTGGGTTAAAGTATTATTGCGCTGCAAATTCCAGCAAATGTCTCCTAGCAAAGAATCCAACTTCTTTCCGCTATACCCATAGATATCTACCAATGCTCTTGCAGTTACTTGGTGAAATCGTTCTCCATGTTCATCAGTTCGGCAAATTTATCAGGATGAAAAAAAAGAAAATGTATTTTAAATGACATATTAACGCTAATTCTTTGCAAAACGGAAAGCACTTTTTCAATGAATTCGCGCCAATTTTAGGCCCGATATGAACCCAGAACATTTTCAATGCCAGCTTTAACCCTGCCATATGAGACAAGCTCGTCAACGTTGAGAGCATTTTTGAATGCTTGATCTTTCATTTAACGTCGTATATCAGGTCCATGTAATATTCCTGCAAAATTAAAGTGGTAGGCATATCTCATAAAATTTTGTAATGAAATATTGCGTTGGTTTTTCTTGGGCGTAAAGGTACCGCAACAAAAACAAAAAAAATTACAACGACGACATAAATGTTCGTCTCCTTTCTCTTTCTCTGCCATTTCCTGCTCTTTTTTCATTTTTGGTTCTTAAAATCACTTTCAAGTAAAAATACAATTTAAAGTTTAAATTTTAAATGTCAATAATTAATAGATGCCCTTTAGTGTGCTTGAACGATAAAATAGAGAGTAGTAAAACGACGCGTTACAATATCCCATTTGTTAATTATTAATATATCATATTTCTTACAAACAACATAGATTTAATAGTTAGAAATCATTATTTACCAAATTAAAATTTGTCAACTATTAATAAGCAATATTTATTATTAATAATCATAATGAAAAACAGAGTGAGGATGGTAAATAAAAAAAGTTGTCATTATTTTTATTGATATTGATTATTTTATTATGAATTACCCCAGCTCTAAAATATTAACGCTGTTAAATTAATTAATGTCGATTCGTAAATAGAGATTAATTTCACGTGGTAGTGTATTATAATTGCTGAAATAAATATTCCATTGTCCGCTGTTTATCATTAATCATGTTTTTTAAAAAAGTTAAAAGTGCTTTGAATATTTTTAAGGATGTGGGCCATATAAATAGAAGTGTATGCTGGGTGTGTGTTATGAGGCCATTTTTTTGGTGTACCCTAATTTTTTGGAGCATAATGGGTGTCAAAGAAAATAATGATAAGTGTTATTTTAAAGTAAACAAAATAGTTAAAGGTTTGGTTACCTTTTTTATAACCACATTGTCATGTGTGGTAGTCTATATGCTATACCTCCAGGTGGTTTTATGTTTGGAATCAAATATTTTGTTTTGTATGATATCTTCTACAAGCTACATATACTCTGCGATTGGTTTTTACATTATATTAAACCATAGTTTTTACACGAAAAAAATGTTGTACTTTTATACATCCTGGAAGAATTTACTTATATTCTGCAAGAATTGTGGATTAAAAATACCATTGGACCACGATTTAAACAAAAACTTACTGATAAACTTCTATGGATCAATTATTATAAGTTTAGCAGGTGTTATATTCACCATCATAGAATTAAAACTCAATAAAAATTCGCTACATGGCTCTGGTATGTGTACCGCAATAATATTTTTTTTTAATTGCGTGAGTCACTACATACAAGTTAATACATTAGGGCAGCTTTTCACTGGACAATACGTATTTCGAAAAGTGTATAAAGTCGCAGGAGACACCTTCAAAGATTCACTGAATGTTTACAGAGGGGAACTAAGTTACTCCAAATCCATTACCGAACAAATTACCACACTTAAAACCATATTCATATCCATAAAGAAGATAGATGACATGAACAACGTCATTTTTCAAAACAATTTGATCGTGTGGATTCTTTGCATGATAGCATTGCTGATAATACATTTTTTTGTTATCGTCAAGGAATGGGATTCGGCTCACAGTTTGATCATAACTGCTGTCTTCAGAAATATGTTTTTAATTTTGATGCTTGTGGTATGCATCTTTAAAACCGATCAGTATTCCAGTAGTGTAAGTATACTTGTATATATGTAGGGGTAAAAATATTAGAGTTGATTTGTAAGTGTAAAAGTTGATTCCCGGTCACTTTTCCGAAAGTCATTTTCCCGACAGACCAATTTCCCGACAGACCATTTTCCCGACACACCATTTTCCCGACAAGATTTTTCCCGACACCATTTTCCCGAAAGTCATTTTCCCGAAAGTCGTTTTCCCGACAAGACATTTTCCTGACAAGCCATTTTCCCGACAAGTCATTTTTAAGACAAATAATTTTTACCACAAACGACACAATATATTTTAACAGAGTGACGTCATCCAATGACGCAATCTTAGGACGGGAAGCAGATCTTTTTTCCTTAACCAACGTCCCGAGTCCGCCCGCTTCGAAACCAACCCAAACCCAACAACCCAACCCAACCGACCCCGCCCCATTGGCCCTTACAGAATTCCAGAAGCAACAAGCAGATACCGAAATCATTTTTGACCAGGTATGTTTTTCTTTACTAGATAATAAAACTTTTGTCGTGAACATAATCTTTTGGAAAGAGGGCTATCGGAAAAAACATTTTTTAACTGGATAATAAGATTTTTGTCGTGAACATAGTCTGTCGGGAAGAGTGCTGTCGGGAAAAACGTCGTCGGGAAAATGGTTTGTCGGGAAAATGGTCTATCGGGAAATTGGTCAGTCGGGAAATTGCATTCGGGAAAGTGACCGGGAACCGTAAAAGTTACACTACAAAATACACTAGGTAGCATTTAGTGCTTATTAACTTTATTAAACACATTTAAAGAATATGAACATTATTCATTGGTACATTCACACTATTTATTATTAAAATAAATCAAAAGGGTAGAAAAACTTAATGCGAGTGTTTATTACCCCTTAATGTGTTAAATAGTGACCAAATGTACACTACAGTGCATGCCAATTTCTTTGTCTGTTTTGATGTTACTAAGAGTTCTTTTTTGTTTACACTACTAGTGCACATTGTATCACAATTAAAGTTAAATTACACCAATAGTGGCCAAATAGACTGAAAAAACTGGTAATAACCGAAATGCGTTTTAAAATATTTGGTTGGTACCTATCTACCTACGCAGTGCATATCCGGAGATACCGCGTTGTGGAAGTGTAGCATTTTTGTTCAGTTAGATTTTAATTACGGTGAATCCATAAGGAGAGATTCTTATTTTTTGGTAAGTATTACTATTTCCTTTTTCTTTAAGCCTTAATACTCAATAAATACCAATATGTTAAAAGGATGTCCATACCCGACCTATATTGTATATAAATAATTTACGGCAGTAGGTCGGGTACTTGTAACATTAATAAAATAAATACATACACACTTGATTTACTTTATATTTTCAAGCGTAATGGTTGTTATATTAACCTATACCTACATTTTTATTAATATTATGGAAAATTTGTACACGTGTGGTAAATCCCCGACATACAGCCGCCTGACGCCTCTCTATCAATGGAATCACCCATTTTTTATAACAGAAAAATGGATTACTGATAAATTCTCAAGATAATTCATTGCTTAAAAGTTGACAGCCAGTAAAGCATTGATCTAAAACTGATACGTTTTAAGGAACCATTTTGCTTAAACCAGCCATACGACTCAAATATAAAATTATATTTTAAAAGGCACCGATTTTGATAATTGTCATAGATTTTTGTTCCAAATAAATGTTTCTCTTTATTTACCTTTTCGTTTTATTCACTACCACCAATAGGTTTTATTCAAATAATAGTGTTAATTTACACTAGAAGTTTGCACTAAAAGAGTAAAAGTACCTTTCTAAAATTAGAACTTTTCCAAAGTACCTAGTGTTAATTTACACGCAACAAAAGTGGGATTTTACCCAGGAAGTGTAGAAGTACACGATTTTAGGTAAATTAATACAGTGTAAAATTACTTTATCCTCAGTGCTATAGTGTTAAATCATATATGTAATTTTCCCCAAGTAAGCAAGTATACTTGCTTACTTGGGGAAAATTACACTACAAATTAACTCTAATTGTAGTTTTATAAAACAACACCATTTAGTGTGGACCTGTGTGAACTCTAATTAGTGTTGCTTAGAGTTGATTTTTTTTTACTGTGTATACAATTATAATAATTTTACATACGTTTTTTAAAAAAAATACGTTATTAATAGAGTTTAGAGTTTAAATGCCATCACGAGGAAACTTGGGGTATCTGAGAAATTTGATAAGTATTTTATACCTATCAC